CCCTCTGGCAGTGGGAAGCCATTTACCCTTGTCCTGTCTCTCCATCCCTTGTCCAAGTCCCTCTTCAGCTCTCTTGGAGCCCCTTTAGGCACTGGAAGGGACTGAGGTCTCCCTGAAGCCTTCTCTTCTCCAGGTGAGCACCCCCAGCTCTCCCAGCCTGGCTCCAGAGCAGAGGGGCTCCAGCCCTTGGAGCATCTTTGTGGTCTCCCCTTGTTCTTTTTATTCTGGGAGCTGCAACGGTTCCCAAGTGAGGCCCCTGCAGTGCTGTGGGTCCGTGATGGGGAGGGAAAGGTGGCACTGACAGATCTTTGCTGGATTTGGGATGTTCTGGGGCTGCCTCTGAGCATCCCCCTCTAAGCCCTCAGTGCCCAGATGTGCCAACACCAGTGGGCACAACGTGAGGGTCTGCAGGGCTTTGCTGAGCTCACCCCCCCTCAGAGATGATGTGTTTGAGGCGGAGGAGAAAGTGGGAAAACTCCTCGGTGGCTCTGGGGCTCTGGGAGCTGCTTTTCCCTCCTGAAGTGCCATAAATAAAAGTTGCAACCCTGCCCTGCGAAACACAAAACTTCCCCAAACCACCCCAGGAACATCCTGCCCGGGAACGGGACCCAGAAATGAAAGCGCAGGAACAATTTGCCGTTAATTAAAGCTCCGGGTCGTCCAATTAGGATCTGCTTAATTAAGGGGCGCGCCTGAAAACGAACCGCTTGGCTCCTGCAGGTGGGGATTTCTTGCTTGAGGGTGGGTGAAAATAGTTCTTTCAGGAGATTATCCTGCTGGAGGCCTGGTGCTCTGAAATGTGGGACCCAGAGCCGGGCAGCCAAGCCCCTCAAATCTGGGATGTTTGGGATCCATGTGCTTGTGTCGAGGATGTTTACCTGGACCTGGTAAAATTACACTGAATCTCCTGCAAACGTGCAAAATCAGATGTAAATTGTGATGTGTTTGTGCTGTGTGGGTGTCTGGTTGCATGTGTTTGATATAAACTTGTATATATAAATTATATACTTATATATATATATATATTTATATATTATATATTATTTTATATTATAGTATATATTATATTATAGTATATATTATTATTCTATTTATATATAGTATATGTAGTATATATAATATAAATAGTATATATTATTATAGTATTTATATATAGTGTATGTAGTATATATTTAATATAAAATAATATATAATATATAAATATTTTATATACATAATATATACATATTTTATATAATTCTATATATTCTATTCTAGTATTAGGTTATTATATGTTATATTATTAATATGTATATTGTATACAGTATATATAATATAAAAATATGTATCTTTAGAGAGAGAGAAATATATATTTTTATATATCATGTTTGTGCCTGTGCCTGTGTAAAGCTTCACAAAACGATGATAACCTTAACCAGTTTCAAGTCAAGGTTCTTAAAACTCCAGAAATACCAGAAATGGATTCCTCATGTCACCTCCATGTGTCCTTCCCCTCTGGAGGGTCATGGAGTCCTCAAGTAGGCAGTTATATGGGATTATTAATTTTTTCCCCCTGACAAGACCCTAAATTGTGCATTTAAAGAGGCACAAATGCAGGGGTCGCTGCCTCGACCCCCATCACCCAGAGCATCTGTGAGCCTGCCCTGGGAGGGCAGAGCAGGAGGGACTGAACTTTTGGGGCTCTCAGGAGCTGTGAGGACCCCAGACAGACCCCACGAGGGTATTTTGACAGGGCAGCTTTTATCCCCAGGGTCCTCTGTGGGCTCCTCTCCAAGGATTTGTGCACCAGAGGGTGGAGGGAAGAGCCCACCTGGGCTTGCTGTGCTTCGGCTCCATTTGAAGAACCCCGTTATCTGAAATCTGAATTTCCTGATCATCCATTTCCAGGGTTACCTGCTGGATGAAAAAGAGCCCTTTTCCACCCTAAAATCCTCCAGTCCTTTTGTCCAGGGATTGTTGCTGCTTTCCCTCAGACAAAGGCACGAAAACACTTGATAATTCGGGGTTGTTTGGTTGTTCCCCCCTTGCACTGAGCTGGGGGCAGGGGGTGCCTCTGGCTTGGGTGCTTTTGCAACCTGGAAGTGGCTCCAATTTCCTCTGGAGGAGAAGGCCCTGCCCCTGAGGTGACACTGCCTTCAGGAGTGGCACGAGGGGGACATTTTCATTTTCTTCCCAAGGTGATGGGAGACACCTGACACTTATGGTATAAAGCCATAAGGGATGGGGCCATGGGGACACTGGGAATGGGGCCACTGGGGAACAGGGACACTGGTGGGACTGGTTCACACCCAGAGCTGGCACCACTCCAGGGTGCCACGTCCAGCTGCCTTCTGCTGGGCTGTTTAACTTTGCCAAACTCGAGCTGTTCGGCTTGAACAGTCTCTCTGTTACGCGTCTGTCCCACGCTGAATTATTTGAAAACTTCCAGCCCAAACTGCCCAGCCATTCCCAGGATCCCCAGCCATTCCCAGGATCCCCAGCCATTCCCAGGATCCTTGTCTTCAGCACGGATTGGTATTTCTGGAAGCTGAACTTTGGCAGCATCCCCACGAGATCCTTCTGGATTAGACCGAGTTATAAAATCTTACACTTTTTTCAGCAAGACCCTTCCAGATTAGACCAAGTTATAAAATCTTATGCCTTTTTTTTCAGCAAGTTATAAAATTCTAAACTTTTCCACAGGCCTCATTTCCTAAAACCTCCCTCTCCCTCTGGATCCAGGTGTGGATCCTGCCCTGAGGCAGCTCCGGCATTCCCAGCCCGTATCCCCTT